CACCTCAATCTTGTTGTAGATTGTCCTAATTTTATTAAAGGAACCAGAATTATAGAATTGAATATATAATCTCCAAAAGTTTTGATGTTGGATGAAATTCTTTTAAATTATTAAAGAGGTAAAAATAAAGTCATTTTGTATACTCTGAGTAACACATATACATACAAATAAAAAAATATTTTGTATTTCCTTGTTTAGTATCTCAAAATGAAATTTAAAGATAAAATATCCTACCTAACACACAATTAAACAACAATAACTATACCACACATACCAACAACAATGTAAAAGAGAAAGGAAAGTTAATAAATATAGCAAAACAATATGGATTTCAATATGCAAATACTCAAGTAAGACTATATTAGGTGACATTAATAGTCAGATACATGTACAGGTACATAGACTGAATGAGACAAGTGTGTCGTTTTGATGTCTCAAACCAACTGACGCTTTGGGTAAGTGATTTTTCCAAACAAAATTAAGTGTAATCTTTCCTTGCTTTACACAACATTTTTAATACCAGAAACTTCAGTGTATATGTAATACCAACTTATATTCTAGGCTCAGAAAAGTATAGAGGGTTTACACTTATGTCTTCAGCAAAACATCTGAAAGTTGCACAGGACAAGAGATAATTAAATTCATCATTAAATGGAACAGTCCGGAACATTGCAGGACATCTATCATTTCCCAGTGAATGCTGCTACAGCCCCTTGCATATTTCTAGTATGTTCCACAGGAAGCAGTATTGTGTCCATTTGAGAAGCAATGGCATAGTCCAGGCTCTAAACCCAGCTCTATCTCATGCTAGCCGTGAAAGCTGAGAACTCACTCAGCCATTTACAGATCACCCCAACCAATACACATCGTTTGCCTGACCTATGGCAGTCCCAAGCAGCAAGCACAAATTCTTGAAAGAATCTGCGTCTTCTCTAAAGGTAGTCATGGTTGTTAAAAAAAAAAAAAAAAAAAAAAAAAAACACAACATTTTTGGATTTCCTTGCACTTACTTCATTTTGAATTACAGATTGGGGGATGTACACCATAGTGTTTTAAATATTTAGGGTTTAAAAGTCTGGATCTGACCATATTCAAACTCCCAATCAGATTCTGTAATAACTTTCAGGAAAAAATCAGATTCTTTCAGGAATCAGTGTGCTCTAATCCTAGTTTTACCATGTTAAAATGTTATGCATAACTTTATTTGCTCACAAAATGTCATGTTTGTTATTTTGAAATAAAACATAGAAAAACTGAAAAGAGAACTATTTGCCCTAAACTGTTGTAGGGAAAAAAAAATGTTTCCACCCAAACCTTCAAACTCTCCATATTCTTTCGTATCTCTGCTTCTAAAACCTTGCTGCATAAAAGAGAGAACTTACAAAATAAAAGGAAAATTTGCAGCTGAACTTAAGAGTTAAAATGCCTATTTTCCAAATAAACACAATCTAGAAAAATACACAAAAGCCATCATTTTCTATAGTTCACATTTCCCTTTTTATAATAAGTAAATTAATTCTAGCAATAAATGATGTTGAAAATTTTACTAAAAACTCTGCAATTTTCCCACGCTACTTATTCTCAAAGCCCTTGCCTACCACGTGAATGGTTTTGAAGGTAAAATGACCTGGGTTTGAATCCCGGCTCTGCCACTTACTAGCTATGTGCCCTGTAAAAAGTTCTTAATCCATTTCTTTACATGTAAAATACCCCCAACCTTGCAGTGCTGTGACAATGTGTAAAGTACCTTGAAAAGAGCTTTTCACATACTACTTGTTCATTAAATAGGAGCTATGGCTGTTATTATTATAATTAGCTGTCATGCTTGCCAATACCTACTTATTAACTCATTCAACTATTTTATTCTGAGTTGCCTCATACAGAATTTTTTTTTCCTGGTTTGCAAAGCATTTTGAGATATGCTGGGTAAATGTTATACAATGCCTTTTGTGTTTAAAAGCCTCACTGGACTGTCTTAAGACAAGATGTACTAAAAAGAGAAAAAAGAAAGAAAGGCATTTATTAAACCACAGCTCAACATTTACAGAACACTAGTCATGTGATGGTAGCTTATAAAAATTCAGTTTTTGTCTACCAACAGCCTGATGCTTTATTTGTCCCTGTCAACCTCTTAAAATTTTACCTGGTTCTTGTTTTCAAGGAGAGTTGACTTCTAAACAATGCACAACATTTTAATAGTTTTCCTGTGGTACTTTTCAGCACAAAGACTCTAATTTGTAGATATTTGTGTTTCATATTCAGGTCACCAACTGGCACCTTGGAACCTACAAATAGGTCTCATGGTATAGGTACCACGGTCACACGTTCTCTTCAACATGCTCACACACCCCACCTCACATCTCACACTCAGCTGGTCCTGTCAACACATGCCCATCTCCTGTCCCTGAAAGGATTCTTTGATCCCTAAGAGGTTAGCTTAGAAGGGCCTTGGGGGAAACACAATAATTCATAACCTATTTGGGGTCTTAGACCCCTTGGAAATTCTGAGGAAAACTACTGACATTCTCAACATACATAAACAAAAATGGACTGCATTTCATAGACTCCTTGACAAACTAGGAAGCTGTGATTGATTTCAGTGTTTCTCAAACTCTTTTGACTGGGATTCACAGTGAGAAACTGATCTGACATCAATACAGCCCATATCTACATACATAAACAAACATAAACATCTAAAACAGAAGTTACAGGAAACAATTATTTACACTTACCATATGCAATGGTTTCTGACATTTTCTATTCTATTTCATCTTTCTAAAAGGTTGCTTGAGACTCACTGAATTGCTTTCTTACCACCCACAATCTGAAGAACAGTGATCTGGTCTAACAGTTATCCATTTTAGAGATAAGGAAACAGGTCCGAAAAAATCATGGGTATTGTGCTAGGTCACCAATGAGTTAGTGGCAAAACAAGCCAGAACCTAACCATCCTGACTTCCAACTAAGGCTCCTTCCAAAACAAAGTGAAACAAAAATTCTAAATACCAACTCCCCTAAAAAAGCAGCTGGGCATTTGAAGCCTAAAGCATCCTGCCTGATACACTGAGAAACTGGGAGTGTTTCAATTCCAAATGGTGGTGAATATTAACCTAACATGAGCCTCCAGCTCAGGCGGTCTTAACTTTTTCTAAACCATGCCCCTGGCCTAGCATGACATGGCACATAAGCACATTTTTTTCTTTCCAGAAACCTTTTCTCCAGCTACTGAAAACGACACAGGAAAGGCCAACATTCTCCCTGAGTTTATTTAAAATATTCTGATTACACAGACACAGGTTTTATTTGTCCATGAGAGCTTGGCGTAGAAACAGCAGTAGACAGGCACTCTTTGCATTTACCAGGGCCATGCAAATCTGTTTTCCTCCTCGCTAAGGCTGTTTAATCAAAATTTAAACATCAAAACCGCAGAGATCGCTATGTGGAACCGACACCAGCTACCCCAGACCCTTTTAAAGCCTCAGTTATAGTAAGTGAAATTGCTTAAGAGCCTTCATCACAAGCAGCGTGATAGATTAAAATACCAGCCTTCCTACCGGCATCAGGCTGTGTGTGGTTTTGTTTGGTTGGTTGCTTTTTGTTTGTTTTTAATATGAAATAAACATCACTGTCCATTACAAGATGAGAATCTTATAACATGCCAGAGAGTGTGCCTGAGGACTGGGCTGGTGAAGGCCAAGCGGGCGGCCCTGCATGCAGTTAGGAGAAGGCTTGGGGCCTGGGCGGTCTCATCAATGAAGAGAACCACCCAGCTCCGGTGTTGCGGAGGGTCGGTGGGCGTGAGCAACCTGCTCTGGCGCTGTGTGCCAGCCTCCACCTGAGCACCCAAGCCCGGTGCCCAAGGGCAAAGTGCTGGGGCCTCCTTAAAGCAGAGCGTGCTGGGAGGAGAGGGAGGGGTGGAAAATTGCTGCAGAGAGGCTTGAGGTGAGATCAGCGAACGCCTGCTGGGGAAAAGGGGGGCGGGCAAACCCTAAAATTAGCTGGGGGGAGGCAGGGGCTGGGCCAGGCTACTCGGAGATTGGGCGGCTGCCCCGGAGCTTTCCCGGGAGCCCAGCCGCCCTGCGCCTTCCTGCTGCGGCAGGACCAGGAGCCGCACCTACGCAACACCACGGAAGGGCTCCTTCCTGGAAACAGGATTGGGGAACGCGTGTAGCCTCCCGAGCCTTGGGATCTATCGCTCCTCCCCCATCTGCGGCAGAAAATGTTAAGGACCCTCGGAATCTGAAACCCCAGAATCCTCCAGAATCCTTGTTGTTGAACTTAATATTTGGCTGGCTCATTTGAGAGACCTGACCTTTCCTGAGTTTTCATTTAAATCCGTTTCTCTCCTCCCCCATGCCTCAAGCGGAACTGGCCGGGGGTTGGGGGGGAGGGGGCGACAGCGGGGCGGGGGGGCGGGGGGGGGGGGCGAAGGGGGGTTGTTACCAGGTATCTAGGGGATGGAAGCTAGCAGAGTCGGGGGAGTTTGCATCTGAATATCTCTCTGCAAGATAAACACTTCTGAAGGTCAGTGACGGCTCCCCATTGGATCCTCCCGAAAAGGTGAATGTTCATTAAAGGCTTCTCCCTCTACATTTTTCTTAAGAACCCAAACTGTAAAAGTCTGAAGTATTTCAGATATTGCAATTCCAATAATGCACCAGAAGCCTATATATTAATTAAGTATTCTGAACACTTGCAAAATAAAAGGGAACTATTATAAGGAAGTCTGTGAAATGTAAATATGTGTTATTCAGCCAAGATTAAATGAAGAATGCAAAAATGTTATATTTAGTAGCACAAAAATGGAAAACTGAATGACAATATTTGGAAACCAGAGATCAGTTATTTTTAAAAGTCACGTTTATTATTATATACTAGAATTTTTAAATAATATATGCACACTAATTTTAAATCAGCCATTTAATATACACTAAACATGTCCATGGAGTGACATCTTATCCCTAGCCTCTTTTACCTCCCCTCTGCAGTCGGCCCCTTACCTTTATTTTCAGAATCTTTCATTCTCTCCTTCCTCCCTCTGCTGCAAAGGAGCAGGAAAGTCTGGCTGGTTCTGCAACCCTGACTTTGGATTTGTCATTCAGTCAGCGGTCTTGGGGGAGAAGTCCCTCAGCCGAGGAGCACCGGGCTCTGATAATTGCATGCAAGTCAGTGTGCAGGGGTTATAATTTTGCTTATGCTGGAGCAGAAAGGATGGGGAATGAAGACAGACGTAAACACAAATTCCAAAACATGGCATGGAACTGGATCTGGAGCCTAGGCTTGCCTTTCCTCGCAGTAGGTTAGGGAATCAACTGTTTAGTGCCTCCTTGTCTCTGGAGAGATTTGATTCAAGTTGAAAGAGGACCACGTGTGCCGTGCACCAAGCTTATTCTCAAATGGAGACCTTCACTTTGGAGGGGGATTAAGAGCCCTGTGCTTGTTTCCTCTTACATATTCATTCATTAAGCAAACACTTCTTTTACCTCTCTGTGGACCAGGCTCTATGCTGAGTACTGCGGACAGAACAGTGATGGGAACCAACCCCAGTCCTCAAGCCACTCACCGGCTGTTACAATGCAGAGGCATACAGTGCCATCCAATGACCTATGTCTGCTGAATGGACCTGGGTTATTGAACCCAGTTCACCCAGGTGTAAGTTGGTACTCAAGGCTTTAGTGATTGGTCTTAAGCCACTGGATGGCTGAGACAGAAATGGATCTATGGAAGCCAGACCAAACCCCATCTCTGTTAGACAGCAAGGAATACTCAAGCAAATCTTTCAATCATCCAATGCAAACTTACTTTCAATCATTACATACCTCAGATTCATTCTTTCATTCATTCACTCAACAACGGTTATTTGTGCCAGGCACAACTCCACCTGTTAGCAATTCAAGAGTGCAGGAAGCAGACCAAGTCCCTGCTCTCGTGGCTATCACATTTGGGTGGGAGGATTCAGACAGGCCATAAACAAACAAATATAAACATACAATAAGTGGCAGTAAATGCTGTGAAGAAGAATGAAGCATGATAATGAGGTAACAGAGCTGCCATTTTAGATAGTGTGGCCAGGGGAGGTGCCATTTAACTTGTTTTACAGAAAATGAATCCGTCATCACAGTCCCTTCCAAACATCTTCACTTAGAAATTGTTTTTTGAGTTCCAAACCCTCACAACTTCCTCTGCTCCAAGTGCACTCACTGATGGGTAGTGTTTATTCCCCAATATACAGACTGGTAAACTGACATCCAGAATGATTAACTGACCCAATCCAGGACCTCACTCACCTCCAAGATGGAAGAAGAGCAACAAAAAGAAATGCACCAACCTGCGCTCATCCCCAGAAATTGCTGGGTTAAGTACAATATTGAAAAGGAAAATTTGCCAGAGTAGGAGGTGAGAAAAGAGGGTTGAAGACCTATCTCTACCACTATTACCTGAGTGGTGAACAGCAGGTGATTGAACCTCTCTGGCACCAGTTTCCTCATCTGTAAAGTGGGGCTAATCATCCATGCCCTGTGCGTGGTCCAGGCTGTTCAGAAGATCAAAAGGGAGAACAGGTGGTACTTTGTAAACTAAGTTCTACATAAGTGTAAAGTATAATTATCAACATACTTGGGCACATTAAGAGAACAAATTGCTAGTGTTTACCTGCTCACTATGGCAGCCCGAGAGTCAAATACAGCTATAGAGGGAAAGCCTGTCGTGGCCACTAGGGGTCCTGGAGTTGATTTCTAGCCGCCACAATTTAAAGACTCCCTTAAAGTTTGGGGAAATTTTATTTTGGTTTTGTTCCCATCTTTCCTTGACAGTGGATAATATCCTTATGCATCCTTGACAACTTAAGGCCAATGAGGAAAATCTGCCTTCATTGGAACTCTTCACTGGCCACCAAATGAGGCATGTTGGCCCATAAACCACATCAAAGATATGGGCATCTCCATCTCCAAGGACCAAGGCCAGGGCAGCCAAAACGTACCCAGTTAGGAGCACCTTTAGGGGCAGATAGGGTGAAGGAGGGGGTGATGAGAAGACACCATCCGTGTACTCTTTCATCCAATAAATATTCATTATGCCAGACACTGCTCTGAAGACTGAGAATGACACAGTGCTGAACAAAACATTCTGTCCTCAAAGAGCTTGTGGTCTCAGAACAAGAGGTTTCTACAACATATGCTGATTTACTGAGTTAGGCCGAGGACTGGGTCTGAATAGTAGGGCAAGGGCTATAAAGCAGGAGAGACCAGGTTCAAACATGGGCTCTGCCATTTCCTGGCTCCTAGAGTAAGCTGGGATACGTTCCTGCACCTCTCTAAGTCTCCATTTCCCGATGTGTAAGATGAAGATACTGAAGGCACCTACCTCCTAGGGTAGGATGAGGCTCAAATGAGTTAATGCATGTAAAGGACACAGCACAAAGGCTGACACATAAAGGGAGGGCTCCATAAATGCTGTAAGACTAATATTATCACCTACTGACCTGGATCAAATGTACCCCTCTGCACCTCAGTTTCCTCATAAAATGCAGAAAATAATAACTAGTTTATATGGCTATTGTGAGAATTACATATCAGGAAGAAGATAAAGCCCTGGTGTAAAGGATTAGCTCACCCCCTGCCAGGCTCACTCCAGGCCGTTTTTCATCAAGCAGGCTCCCCAGGAAAAAAAGACAAAGTCTGGGAGGAGTGGGGAAGTGGGAGAGAGCCTGCCATTTATGTTAACAAGGAAGCAATTTTTTTACAAGAGTATGATCATTTCTAGGGTTACCTGCATTTTACTCAACACTGTATTTTGAAAAGTTTCAAAATACAGAGAGTTGGAAGAATTGCATGGCAAACATCTTCAAGTACATTTTGCTAAATTTGTTCTGTCACATAGATGTTCATCTTTCTATTCATCCTTAATAGATTTTTTTAAATTAAGTTGAAAGAGATTTGAAGTCCTCTTCAGATAAGAAGAGCCTTTATTTTCCCTGATACAAATTTTACAGAAGCCGTACGCTGGCTGATTTTGTGGCCATTCCAAGCAGGGTCAGGTAAATTCTTAGAAGCCTTGTCTTGCCCACAGTAAACCTCAAGGCCACACCCAGCTGAGGGACAAGGATAGACTCAAGCCTTGGAGCCTTCCAGAACAAGGCACTGCCTCATGCTTCCAATAAACTGGTACCAACAACCATTATAAACATCCATTAATGGAAATGATGCTCCATCTCAATAACCGGGTTTAGGGAAAGCTTCAGGCAGGCTCCACTGGCCACAAGTCCCTTCACAGCTCTGCACAGTCCTTGTCTTGTTGGATGCCACTTCTGAGTCATTAGACCGGTGAGTCATGCCCAGCAAGGGAGGCCATCTTGAGAGCAAAACCAAAGAGAATTTTCAAGAACAATGAGTGACACCCTGAATTGAAAGAGAATAAGGCTCTTCATTGTCCTAGCAAAACAAAAATGAAAGAAAAAAACGCTGCTGTTAACATTGTGGGTTCAACTTCCCAGCTGTATATTTTACTCCGAAGAAAAACTCAGCAAAAAAGGCTTTTATATTCCCTTGGAAATCTGAGAGCAAAAGAGACTGGGAGGATATTTCTCAAATTGGGCAGACCCAATGATCTTTCGGTAACTTGCCTGGACCCTCTCTTCTGGATTAGTCATTCATTTCCAAAACATGCCAGGGTGGGGTGACAGGAGAATGACTTCACCTGCACCACCACATTCGGTCTTCCCCCAGCCACGCCTGTCTGGTTTGCTCAGAGCATCCAAGTGGCCGTAAGCGAGATGAACTGGAGTGAGAAAACTGCTGACTGGGGGCTGGGGAGGGGATGGGGCTTTGTGATTAGGGTCACCGCAGAGAAGGGCAGCATGACTATAAGAAAAGCTGGGTGTGCTCCGATGAAGCCAAGCCACAAGGCAAGGGGAAGAGAATTAATACATGGAGTACCCACTGTGTGCAAGGAAATCTTCTTATCATCATCACCATCCTTTTAAAGAACTTATTTGCCAAGCATGGCCTTTAGAGCGAGGACTTTCACAGCACACTGCCTGGGTTTGGATCCCAGCTTACTAGTTGTGTAACTTTGGAAACGTTACTTATCCTCTTTGTGTTTCGGTTTTCTCGTTCATAAAATAGAGACTGTAAAACAGGGTTATTGTAAGAATTAAATAAAATTAAAATATTCACAGGTTTAGGACCACGGCTGGCACACGGTAAGCAATGCGTGCACGTTAACGCTTGCCAGTCCGTTTTTTTTAGATGAGAAAGATGAGGCAGAAAGAAGAAAGGAGACTTGCCAAAGGACACATAACAAAAAAGTAGCAGAGCCAGGATACTGCCTGTCATTTACTTCTCACAACACCCCTGTGACGGAAGTGACATCATCTTGCTTCTATTGATGAGAGCTTGGAAGCCCAAGAGCTTAGTAAACTGCTCATCGCACAAGCTGGCAAATGGGAGAGTTAAGACTGAAAAACCCCCATTCACTGTCTTTAAAGCCTTTGCACATCCCACTAGGCCAACGGTTCTCAAAGGTTAGCACACACCAGAATTACTGCAGGGCTTGGTAAAGCACAGGTTGCTGGGTCCCACCTCCAGAGTCTCTGCTTTGGTAGCTCTGAGGTGGGCTCCAAGAATTTGCATTTCTAGCAAGTTCCAGGAGACCCTGTTGCTGCTGGTCTGGAGACAACCCTTGAGAACTACTACTCTACAATCAGGCACCTGTATGCAGAAGAGAGGGTAGGAGAAGGTATGGGGCCTAAAGGGTATAGGTCCCACTCCGGCATAGGGTTGGCTACTTCACAGAGCCTAGCAAATATATTTTGCATTTATATGGTCCTTTCATAGTTATGATATCATTTGATCTTTCCAATATCCCTAGGTAGTGACCATTATCTCCATTCAATGTGATTTGTTTTTAGGGACATATGGCCAGAAAATGGCAGTAAGAATAAACCACAGGTCACCTGACAAGTGTTCTGTCCTTTCCTCCAGGTAACTCGTCCTGGAAAGCACTATCTGCGGATAGAGACTGACTCCAGGTCCAACCTGTGTCTTCCGAGGGAATAACTGCAGTTCAGGAAAGGGCACTTCAGCCCACCAGCGTTTGCAGGAGGCTATTTCTGGGGGGAAGAGCTCAGGACTGGTTTTCTACCATCATTTCAAGGACTAGGAAAGCCTACTGCTCACAAAATACTTCCACCAACCATCCGCTCCCTTCTCTATAACCTAAAGCTTTGATATTTGACGTAAATCTGGTTCTCTGCAAAAGCTGGAAGCAATTTAGGGGCTTAATTTCTACTGGACACAGCTTGTTCATTTAGAACAGCTTGCATGGTTAGTAGATTTTTTTAAGTTGCTTGGACATATAAACAGGTAAATCATTGGTATCCAGAAGATTTCAAGAACTCCTATGAGCAGATTTAAAAAAAAACATGAACCACCAAAAAAAAAAAAAAACATAAACAGGCGTTCACACATGTCTTGGTCACACATGGCCAATATTCATGTGAAAAGATCTCCAGCTTCATTATTCGTCAGGGAAATTCAATATAAAAGCACCATGCAGTACCACTTCATACGCATCAAAAAATTCTGACAGTACTGAGTATTAGCAAGGAAGTAAGGAATCAATATATACATCCCAGAGGATTCATTCATTATTTAACCATTCATTCATTATTATCCAATAACTAAATAAACATATTTATTGAATGTCTTCTATATTCAGGATACAATATTAAGCTGAACAGATGCCAGAGGTCCCCAGAAGCTATGCTACTTCTCATCTGTAGCCTCCTGCTGAAAAAAAAAGGAAGGGAGGGTAGTAAGAAGGATACTGATGTAGAAGGCCTTCTGATTGGTCCAGAAGGGATTGTGGCCCCTGAAGAGCTTCCAGCCATGTTTTATTCCCACCACTCATTGAACTTTCCATATTTGGGGTGTGATCATATGGTGCAATATCTGGACTAATATTAACAAAAATAACAACCACCACCTTGTGAGCTACTATGTACCAAGCACTTTATATACAATAACCCATATAATCATCACAGGAACATTATAATATAAGAGTATCATCCTTATTTTATGTATGATAGATAACTGAGTTTTAGAAAGATTCAGCACCCTGCCCAAGATCACACAGCTTATTAGTGGGCCACTTACTAGTGGCAGATTCAAATCATCGTCTGTCTGGCACCAAAGCATATGATTGTAGATGCCCCAAGTGACGCTGACATCAACATGAGAAATTCAGGCCACCTTTAAGAAAAATCAAATAAAATTGGGATATGGATTTCACTCACTGCATAATATTTATTAATTTTACTTCTTCCCTCCATGAGTATAGATACTGGAACATGTTTATTTTGTGCCGATGTGGCAGAAAGGAAGCTGTGTGGGTAGTCAGGCCTGAATTGGCCACACACCAGTCCTATGACCTCTTGCAAGTTACTCCGTCTCTTGCTTCACTTTCCTCATCTACAAAATGGGGGAAATAAATACCATCTGTCCTCCCTCCTTCCAAGGTTAGTTAAGATCTAAAGAAGACCTTATAGTTGACCTACTCCATAAACTGTAAAGTATCATATAACATAAGACATTATAATGGCCTCATCTCCAGGTTGTAGGGGGGAAGGGGAAGTAGGGAAATACAGTGATCTGCCAAGATCCTACCTAAGAAAAGAGAGGTGTGGCGTGGCAATGGGCCCCGGGTAAGCCATGGGTGAACTCTACGATGGGAACAAAGAAGAAAAAGAGAGGATGGTTGTGTACACAGTATACACCTGGGTTTAAAAATTATAAAACTAAAAAACTTATTCTAACCCAGTTTACTGCAGTGGGAATACCCATTTATTCCTCTTTTGTAAAACATTCACGCAACACTTGGTATAACACTATGCATATAAGTATCACTCAAGGAATACTTGTTGCAATTACCAATCTATTCAACTACTCAGGCAAGCTAAAGAAAAGGGGTGGTCAGCCTTTAGACCTACTAAGTTTCCGCAACAGTTCTTGATGCAGTGTGGAAGGAATTTAATTGGCGCATTCACTAAAAGTAATAACACGTCCTTTGAAAGCCGGCAAGATGACAATGCCAAGCCACAGAGCCTCCCTAACCATCAACAATAGAAAAGCTTGTTTCTAACACAATAATTTGTGTTGTTTCTAACACAAATATTTGAAGGATAATTATTTTTGCTCTTTGTCAAATTTCTTTTTAGAATGCTTACTATGTGCCAGCACTTTACAATTATTAACTCATTAATTCATTTAATCTTCGTAACAACCCTGGGGTGGAGATGGGGGTGATGCGGCCCTGTTGCAGTCTAGCTTCTGCCCTGGCTCAGGTCGGCCATTTTAGAACTCAAGGCATGTCAGCCTCTGAAGAATCCTCAGATGATGGAAACAGACGAAAAGGACATGATAGGACACAGAGACAGAGACAGAGACAGACACAGACACGCACACGCACACGCACACACACACACACACACACACACACACACACACACACGCAGACAGGTATCTACAAAGTACCCAGCTCTGACTTAGCCTGGTGGGGGATGCAAAGATGAAGTGGATGAGAACCTGCCCACATGGAATCTATAATAGCAGATGAACAGTGACAAATGCCCTATGGATGATGAAATACCAGCAGACAGGTTACAGGTGGCACCTATCCCAGGAAAGGCTTCACAGAGGAGATGCATTTGTGCTAGTCCTAACGGACGGGTAGGAATTGGCCAGGCTGAGAAACCAAGGCATGGCCACTGCAGATAGAGAGAAGGCAATGAGCCAGCAGATCGTGTCATGTCCCTGTGCTCAGAACATGTTAGTGGCTTCCCAGCTCACTTGGAATAAATTCCAAACTCCTCATCATATACTACCCAGACCCTGACCCAGGCCCTGCCTGCCTCACTTTCCCCTTGCTTAGCTCAGGCACAATGAGAACCTTTCCACCTGCTATTGCCTCTGGCAGGAAGCTCTCCCCTGGCTCCATGCTGGAGTAACTCTGAATCAGTCTTCAGGCTCAGCTGTAATTGCATGGCCACAGAGACGCCTTCCCTGTCCACCCCCCAAGTAAGCTAGGGCCCCTCTACCTTTTTTCCTCTCCCAGCAGACGATTTGATTCCTTCCAAGCACACAGAGCAATCTGCAATGGAGACTTTTACCTATTTGACGTGTGTAATGTCTGTTTCCCCCTTTAGAAGTAGTTCCATGAGCTGCGGCCTTGCCTGTCTCGTTCAATCCTGGGCCCTGACACACAGGGGAGCTCGATAAAAATTATGGAATGAATGAATGCAGTGAGTCAGTGACTGAATAAATGTGAGTTAAGGCCCTGGTGAGGATAGGGTGGAATGTGTTTGGGAAATAGTTAATTGTGACTAGAGCTTACAAGATAACAGATGGGTTGGAAAGAGGGTGGGTCCAATGGGGAGGACCTCCAAGGCAGAGTTGGGTGCGGATTAAATCCCCCAACGGGTACTGCATTGCAGGTGCCGGCCAGGTTTTGGGGGGAGGGGGATGCAAACTGTTTTCCAGAGGCACCCCGGATTCCCTCTGTCCAGAGCCAAACGGACAGACAGGGACTTGTGCGGGAAATTAACAAGCTGCAACCACCTGGGCCAAGGGGAGATACGCTTAAAGGGTGGAGGGGGAAGAAGGGACTGTCGTCGAGCGGCCCCGGGGGAGCTTGGGTACTGGTGTAGTCCCCGCGGCCGAGGGTCAGGGAGGAGGGTCGCCCAGACAAGGCCAGACGTGCTGGCGGCGCGGGCCCCGCCCGCGGGCCCCGGGGGCCGAGAACCCAGCGGGAGATGCCGCCTACGGCAGCAGCCGGAGCCACCGCGGCCCCGCTTCAGCGGGAGGCCGGCGCCCGCCGCTCGTGGTAACAGGTCCCGCGGCCGCGCCCACACTCACCCTGCGCCGCCTTGGAAGCCGAGCGCGTCCGCCACAGCCGCCGGGTTGCCTTCCACGGCCGCAGCGAAGAAAACAGCCTCCGGCTCTTCTTGCCGCTCTTCTCAGTTGCTCCCATCTGTGCGCCCGCGCCCCTCCCCCGCCGCCCGCCGCCGTCCGAGGATCGCCTCCCGCTTCCCCGGCCGCCGCGCTTCTGCCAGGTGCCAGGCAGTCGCCGGGGAGGACGCGGCCGCGGGGGGAGGAGCTTGCGGCCGGATGCGGGGCGGGGAGGGTGGGGACCTCGCTCGCGCTGAGCCTGCGGGTGCGGCCGACCGAGGCGGGGACGCTGCAGGGATGCGCCAGCCGGGGGAGCGCTCAGCCCCTGGCAGCTCACAGGTGAATGCTTTAGTCTTTCCCCCTTCGTTCCGGAGATGTTGACGGAGTGCCCAACTACTGCTAGGCATCATTAATTAACACAAACCCCCCTGGGATGTGCACTGATTTTTTATCCCCAAATTACAAATGATAAAATTGAAGCTCCGAAACGTGAAGTAATCTGCCCAGAGATCACACAGCCGTTAAATTATGCCGATATCCAAGTCCTGGGCTCTAGCTATATTTTTTTCATCCCTTTCTACTGCCTCAGAATGATTCCACATTATGTTGGATTTTTTTTTGAAGTTTTGCTTTTTTTATGCTTCTATTTTTTCTTTTTTTTCTTTTTTTTTTTTTTACATCTTTATTGGAGTATAATTGCTTTACAATGGTGTGTTAGTTTCTGCTTTATAACAAAGTGACTCAGTTATACATATACATATGTTCCCATATCTCCTCCCTCCTGCATCTCCCTCCCTCCCACCCTCCCTATCCCACCCCTCCAGGTGGTCACAAAGCACCGGGCTGATCTCCCTGTGCTATGCTTCTGCTTCCCACTAGCTATCTATCTTACGCTTGGTAGTGTATATATGTCCATGCCACTCTCTCGCCTCGTCACAGCTTACCCTTCCCCCTCCCCATATCCTCAAGTCCATTCTCTAGTAGGTCTGTGTCTTTATTCCCGTCTTACCCCTAGGTTCTTCATGACATTTTTTTTCTTAAATTCCATATATATGTGTTAGCATACGGTACCTGTCTCTCTCTTTCTGACTTACTTCACTCTGTATGACAGACTCCAGTGGATTTTTTTTTATTTAAGTCTGATAGATATTCCTGTTTTCCTCATGCAACAGATTAAGAATCACTTTTTTAAAAAATTTATTTTTGGCTGCATTGGGTCTTCGTTGCTGCACTGGGGCTTTCTCTAGTTGCTGCGAGGGGGGCTACTCTTCATTGTGGTACGCGGGCTTCTCATTGCGGTGGCTTCTCTTGTTGTGGCACACGGGCTCCAGTAGTTGTGGCTCACGGGCTTCGTTGCTGTGCTGCATGTGGGATCTTCCCAGACCAGGGCTCGAACCCGTGTCCCCTGCGGATTCTTAACCACTGCTCCGCTAGGGAAGCCCTTTTTTTTTTTTTCTTCTTTTTTTTAAGAACCTATTCTATGTGCAGGCACTTTTACACATATGCCATGAAACCTCACAGCAACCCTGTGGGGTAGGAGGCGTTTCCCATTCACCAGATGAGGAAACTGAAATGTCAGAGCTGAGGTGGCCCAGCCCCCACCACTTTATCTCTGTCGTGATTTTGCCTGTAGTTGAGAGTCGGAGAGGAAGGGCAAAACCACGATCCCTTAACACTGCCTGACTGAAATAATAATAGCTAACATTTATGGAGTGCCGAATTTTACATACATTACCTTATTTAACTCTCCCAATGATACTCATGGGAGAGAAATTATTAATATCCTCACTTAACAGATGGGGGAAACTGAGTATCAGAGAGGTCAGGTTACCTGCATAAACCCATATAAAGCTTATATGTTAGGTTGAATCATGAAACTACCATTTTTGTAGGTTCAAACAAAAGGCTCAATTCATCATATGACAGTTTCACCAGATGATCAAAATTTAAATCACCAATGGAGGGAGATGATAATCCAGTGCATCCAGATGATACACTGAGAGACACATCACCTTTGTAACATTCTGGCCAAGAATGCACAACCTGAATCTAATCATGGAGATATATATGTTAAACCCCAAATGAGGACTTTACTATGAAAACTGGGGTACAGGGGAGGGGGCGTCAGGGCAGGGATGTTATATTCGTTAAAAATGTCGATGATATAAAAGATGAAGAGGGACTTCCCTGGTGGTGCAGTGGTTAAGAATCCACCTGCCAATGCAGGGGACACGGGTTCTATCCCTGGTCCGGGAAGATCCCACGTGCCGCGGAGCAACTAAGCCCGTGCGCCATAACTACTGAGCCTGCGCTCTAGAGCCCACGTGCCACAACTACTGAAGCCCGCGAGCCACAACTACTGAAGCCTGTGCACCTAGAGCCCATGCTCCGGCAACAAGAGAAGCCACTGCAATGAGAAGTCTGCACACAATGAAGAGTAGCCCCCGCTCGCCACAACTAGAGAAAAGCCCACACGCAGCAACAAAGACGCAACACAGCCAAAAATTAAAAATAACTAATTTTTTTTTTTTTAAAGATGAAGAAAGGCTGTGGAGGTGTTCTAGACTAAAGGAGGCTAAACAGATATGACAGCTAACAGTAATACCTGACTCTAGAATGGACTGTGTTGGAGTTTGGAAAAAAGACTCCAAGGGATATTACTAGGTCAAGTTAAATATATATATATGATTAAATAAGTGTCAGTGATAAACTACTGAAGTTGATAACTATACTGTGGTTATGTAAGAAAATATCCCTATTTTTAGAAAATACACACCAAGGTATTTAGGAGTAAAGGGTCATGATGCATTTATTTTACCTTCAAATGGTTTACAAAAGAAGTTTCATATATATGTTTGGGGAGAGGGGGAAGCAAATGATAAAGCAAATACGGCAAAATTATAGTAATAGGTGAATCTGGACAAAGAATATATGGGTGTGTTTTGTACTATTCTTATTCTTGCAACTTTTCTGTAAGTTTTCAATTTATTTCCAACTGAAAAGGTTATAAAAAAACCTTTAAGTTTCATAGAAAAAAGAAAATAAAGTGGGAAGACTGTACCTGATATTAAGGCCTACTATGCAGCTATAGTTATCAAAACAGTGTGGTCTTGGCAGAGGGATAGATGCATAGATTAATAAAGAACCCAGAAACAGACCTGCACACACATACCCAACTGATTTTTGACAAAGGTGCAAAAGCAGTTCAATGGAGGAAAGACAGCTGTTTCAACAAATGATGCTGAAGCAATTG